TGTGTGTGTGCGTGTGTGTGTAGACTCTCGTTTGTCAGTGAAGTGTTTGAATAATATGAAGCATGAAGCAATAAGATAACTATTTACAATACTGTTTAATGTAAGTCCACTGAATAAAAATATGTGTACTTAAAATGAATTATTCGTTGTTTTCTGACATTTGGAATAAATTGCGTAGATTTTAATAAAGCACAATAGCATAAGTTGCACCATAGCAAAACCAATGGTTATATTTAACTACACCAAGGGATACATATTTCTATAATACCATTGCGTTATATACCTTTTAAGGGATGTGTTGACTGGTAACGCAAGGCCGTGTATATCTGTCCCTACGGTTTTATGCTAAACAAATTCTGAAGTTATGCAAATTGAATCCAAAAATGTGAAATTATGCGATTCTCTTAATTTTAACAAAGAATGATAAAGGAAAGTAATCAGAAATCATGCAAAAAATTATCAAATTTTGCTAAATTATGCGGGGTGCATAAAACCACGGGGACAGGTATATAGATAAAACATTATAATACGCTAAAACAAAATAAAACAAAGCAACAGCAAGCACCCACTTTACTGTTACTTTTGTTAACACACAACGTGTTATTCTTCACATTCTTTGTTGGCACACAACATGTTAACATCTCTCATAAAATCTTGTTGAGACACATGTAATATTCCTTACATTAGTCCTTTTGATCGTTACACATGTTATATTCCTCACAAAGTCTTGTTGACACAAAACGTACGAAAATCCTCACAAACTCGTAGTGACTCATGATTATGTGGCTGTGTGTAGATCTGGTAGGTAAATATGGTTGAGTGAGGTGGAGGGGTAGTTGAGTACGGTACAGGAATCTATTGTTAAGATCCTTTTAGATACCTAAAACAGCCTTTTTATTTCTTTATGTAGGCCTCTTCATAATTTTATCTGCATTTTGTATGGACGCGAGAGCTGGACTCTAAACAAAGACACAGAGAGAAGATTGGGGGCCGCTGAAATGTGGTATGATAAGGAGAATACTCAGAATCTCATGGACAGAGAGAAAAACAAGGAAAGTGTTCAAACTGGCAGGATGTGAAAGATCTATCACCAGAACCATCAGGAAAATAAAGAAAATTGAGATTCTTTAGCCACATAAATAGCTCAAATGGAATAGAGAAGCTGCTGCTGTATGGAAAGATAAAAAGAAAGAGGAGAAGAGGAAGACAAAGAACAACATTCACAGCAGATGTGTGTGTGTGTGTGTGAGTGTGTGTGTGTGTGTGTGTGTGTGTGTGTGTGTGAGTGTGAGAAGGGTAAGGGTTGGGGGGAGAACGGTGCACCAATATACAATATAAAAATACTGTAACAATACAGAGGTACCTTATAGGCAGGTTGAATCTGTA